GAGGTTCATACTTGTGGCAAATTGTTTTATTTCAATACACTTTATAAAATTAGAAATTTTAAGAAAAGATTATCTACTAAGATATTTTGATGATAAACTGTAACACCTGCCACTTATAAAATAAAAGGGAAAATATATGTGATGGAATATTGGAACTCACAGCTGCGCATTTCTATTTTACACGTCTGGTTGTCCATGGGGAACTTTAAGAAGTCATACAGACAGGCCAGCTTCAGCTTGATCCTGTACTGGAAAAATGCCATTTTTTAAACTTACACAAATTCAATAGTATCTTTTTTCTGTTACTAGATACCTTACATGACAGGAGAGCAAGTGAAAGTGATACTCCTAAATGGTGGAAAAAAACGGGAGAACTTCATTTTATACATTTTAAAATTTAAAATCGTTACCTGGTGCATTTTGTAGTTCGCACGCATGCGTGCATGTCTGTTTGCAATGTTTGCGTTTGTGCGTGCGCGTTGTTCGCACCAATCCTATCATTTTAAGAAGTTTTAAAAAATATGAATGCACGACGTACCTCTGTGAATAAAGCACATCCCCGGACGGTGAGATTCTCACCAGCACGTTGGGGGTCGTAATATCGTGTCTCCATGCGTGTTTCTCGTTGGCAAAGAAAAGGTCGGGCACCCATATGTCTTTCAGGATCTTGTCAGACAGCGTGAACGCTGTCGTTCGGTTGAGGTTAAAAGTCTTGAATGCAAGACGCGGGTCGTTCCAATATTGGCGGAGGATGAGATCTACCGAGAAATCCTATATAAGAAATAAAAGTTTAAAATTTTATCCAAATACGAAACTTCTACGTTATACATGTAGTGGTGAGCGTGAGTTGGTAGGCTACATGCACATGTAGCTGTTATCTTCCTTTAAAAGTAATGCAGACTATTTGTAATTTTTCACTATTAGTCACGTTTTTTTTTTACTTTTCTGTTCTGTAAAGGAAGATATATATATTTAACTCGACTTCTGCATGTTCAGTCACGATGTATGGTTTTGTTTGAAAAAAGGGAACTTTAGGGGTAAATAATGTGCATTATAATGGCATTACCATGGCCGCTTCGTTGAATTCACCAAATGCATTTAACATTATCTGCACTGTCACGTTTGTTGGCTTTCCTAAAAAATAATACAAATGAGGCTATAATACTGCAAAGCATGGTGTAACAAGCACATGCCTGCAAGATAAAATTCGCAACACTAACATAATTTACTTTCTTTTAGAAAGTTTGCTATAGTTGCTTATTGTGTCTAGTTATTACCGTGAGACTTATTATGGTATTAAACTAGAACAGGTGCTTTGAATGGTAAAGACATTAAATATTACGTGATAAAAGATAACTTGCAGAGGCAGAGTTAAACAAATTGTTGGCAAGCAATACGCTAATTTAAAACTCTCAAATAGCTTTTTGATACCTTCTCTCTCTCTCTCTCTCTCTCTCTCTCTCTCTCTCACACACACACACACACACACACACACACATACACACACACACCAAAGAGAAGTATCTCTACATCACTTTGCTCTTTCTCACACACACGCACGTGCACACACACACACACACACACCTTCAGCTAGGTGGGGTCTCAGGCGGCCGTCATGATTGGCACCGGATAAAACGTGGTTCAGAAAAGCGTGTCTCTCCCTCTCCTTTGAAAATCTGCAAAAAAATATTAATTTCTCGTGAATTCTCAATACTATTTTCTAATAAAAATGAAGGCTTTATTCAATATTGTTAGGAAAATTGACTGAAAGTACATATATCATTTTTACCAATGTATTTATATACTTTCAGTCGAGACTTCTTTATATTGCATGCGAGAAATACTTAATGTAATGTTTTAATGCACAAATTATCATTTTATCATTCAGGCAAAAACATATTCATTACACCCTTTTGAAAGGTTATTATTCCCCCTCTCTCGGTAATAAGTTTCTATATTGCATTGTACGTTATTAAGAATACATTACCAATCTTTATATTGCACTCTAGATACCACACAGGTGTCCTTGAGTCATCCGTCATTCTTTAAGTTAAGTTTGAATACACAATACTCTAGTTGATTTTGTCTGTTAAATAATCACAATTCATAATGACACATTGATTTTTTTTTTTTTTGTTTTTTTTCACTAGATATTCACTGATATGTCTCTGGATAATTCATGGTACATAGAGAAAAGTGCACATAATTAATCTGCGACCCTGAAATAGGGTAGGCTCATGTTGTCTCGATGAGAAAAATTGCGAAGTTACATGTAGCTCTAATATAAGGTAGATGGTGATACCACGCAATACCCACACATTTTAAATAAGTGGGATCAGTGCGACAGCCAAGGTTTTCGCATTTAATTGACCCTCTAACAGATCAGCCGATAACATATTAACATGCAAGAAACTATATCTCTCTCAACAAAGGGATTTTCCGCCTTTGGGCGAGGTGAAGGATTTTTCGAAAATGAATCATTACACCCACGTGGAACACAATGTTACATGATGCAATATAACCAGCTTAGGCCTAATATGTATTGGCATTACCTTTATCTCTGGCATATACATGTAAGTGCATTTTAATAAAACTAAAGTTAAAACTATCATTTAAGTAAATTGATCGTTTTTCAGTTTCAGTTTTGCTAACTTTTTTATCTTTTGATCGAGAACCTTCTACCCGCTTTCGTGGGAAACAGACGCTGCATCAGATCACGTTTTAAACGAATATTAACGAGACCTAGAAGTGCAATATGCGACCCGGGCATTGATGTTTACTAATTACTTTCATGCTTTAAAGTTTTTTTTTGTGTTTTCGTGCCTAGAGTTGCATAACAAAAGTCAAAACCAGATTCAAAATATTTTGACTGGAGAGAAATTGAACGTTATATAACGTGATAGTATGCCTTGTCATATAAATTTTAAACTGCAGTCTGAAGCAACAGCCATCTTCATATTCTCAAATAAATATAGGCCCTATATATTTTTTAAAAATTCACAATTCTGTAAAAAGAGTAAGTTCCTTGTCAAAGGCGTTTCATCGAGACAGTGTTCTTAAGTTTTAACGCCTTATGAAAAATAATGACCGAAGCGATTAATCATATGTCTAAATTTGAACACATCTCGTCTTGTGAAGGGCCAATATAACTTTGATGGGGTCCTATATTAACGTATTATTATGTCACACATTTTGATAATTTGCCTCTAGAATAACACAGGCAGACAAGACAGACTCCACGAAGACATTAACAGTAAGTGCTGACATCGCTACAGGGTGCACACTTGATATTATAACTGTTAAAATCAAATGCCACTTACTTTCTCCGCAAACGTGTCTCTCTCGATTCAACGAACAGCGTCATCGATATCATCATCAATACAACTGCCACCTGCAGCAAAGTAAAGAGTCGCATTTTCCTCCTTTCACGCTTACGATTTCCTCCCGAACAGCGATCCCAGAGTTCTACAGTGTATAAGATCCCGATAACCAGCGAGGGTGTCTCTACGCGTCAGCTATGTATCGTGTTAGTGATAGTAACAAAGAGCGAAAAAAAACGGAAGGCGGAAATGTAATAGAACCGCAGGTGTAGGCTGAAGTCAGCGGCGGTAACACGCTATGCTGTGTCTCCGGTGTGAGTGGCCCGCTGCGGATTTCACGGCGACACCTAGAGACCTACGTGATACATATCAATCTGAGAAAGAAATGAAATTGAGGGCTAGGGCTAACCAACTCTTTTTGGGTTTCTCGGGATTCTACTCGAAAGAGTGTTACAAATGGATTAATAATTCGTATCTGCTTTTCATTCTTGTATTCTCTGGGCAAATCTAGGATTCCACGAAGGAAGTGGAAAATAGTTTGGTCCACATTAATAAATGTGGGTGGAGTAAGACACGCCCCCCCCCTCCATTCAATCCTATAAAACCATCTAGGCATTTCTTTCCAGATATCTTGTTTTACAGGCCCACCCCCTTACAGGTAAAAAAAGACCAATAAATCGAATTTCTCAGTATTTTAATGCAACCGACATCCTATTTCATTCAAAGTTTTAAAATATAAAAGGGAAGAGAAAAAGTGACAAGAAATCGCCGCGACAAGACCAGAACAAAAATTTCCAATGTTCAAATTTTTTAACATTCCTGATACTTTTCAAATATTTCACAATATGTAGTATAGTCTATCGGCCCGTCTGTACTGTCTTTTTCCTTTTCCAACATCTAAGCAAGCACTGGTCGTTGAGATAAAAATACGATAGAGTTCATTTACGCAACCTTTTCAGCTCTGAAAAAGGCAAAAATGTTGGATCAAGTATTTAAGGCTTAAGGCTTAAGATTGTCGTAAATTTTTACAAAAAATGAAGCATATGATTACCACCATTCTTATATTATTATCTAAAAAGCATTCGCTAACTTATCTCTATAAAATTGTACTGTGCAGCACCAGTTTCTTGTGGGAGCTGATTCAGTGCACGCAATGACAACTAAAATACAATTGTTTTACAACTTAATGGATGGTTGAACTTTCTCGACCTTAAAAGTGTAACGTTACCTCTTTGTGGTTTATATACGAGACTCAAAACTTTGCGGTGAGATTTTCCTTTGGTGTGGTCAACATTGTTAATTATGACGGAATTTCGGGGGTTAGTTTACCACTACGTACTTCAGGATATTTCCTATTAATACCCTCCTATTTTTAGACAGCACGAATGTCTACACATATCAGGATTCTCCAGTTAAATTAGGACAGTCATAGATCTTGAGGCTTTCAATTGTAATGAGTCAACTGCCGTCCGATATAAACTGAACAATGATTTTTTGTGAATCAAAATACTTCGATGCAAAACATTCGCGATTTTACTCACATCGATCAGTTATAAATGTTTTAAATCAATTAAAAACTTAACACAATTCTAATGTTATCCAGTTCAATAAGGCATGGCTAAAAGAATGACCCCCCCCCCAAATGATAAATGTTATGAGTAAACAAAAATATTGTTTTCATACTCAGCATCCAAATACCAAAAAAAAGGTAATCATGATTGCAAGGCAACTTAACACACATAGCATCTTCTTCCATTTAAATAAATAAATATTTATGTCAGTCAACTGGAAAACCTGCAAACAAACACAAATATCGGCCTTGTGGAACCTTTATTACTTCAATAACGACTTTTTAATACTCAGTAGTGAGTCATTACTCCAGTCTCTTCAAAAAGGAGCTAAAATATCTGCACAGTTCAACTGGGTTGCGAGTAATGTGCATAACGAAGAAAAAAAAAACTTGCATCGCCCCTTTTTGAAATTCAGATCCTATTTTCAAAGTTTTCACAAAGATGTGATTCTCTTTACAAAACAAACACAGGCATCTTTCTCTCTCTACTGGGTATACATGTATATACAGCACCTGCGCCAAGAAATGTATTTCTCGCTGTGAGACGTCAAACGTTCTATATGAGAAGTAAGGACTTCCCTTTCAAGAGTGTGGCTAAGATGTGTGAAAATGTCGATGGTCACTTATACACTCGTATCATAATTTCAGCTTCGACCCGCGACAGCCTTGTGATCCAGCAAGAACAGCTAGAACTAAGAAAACTGCGCTCCATTTGTAATTGCAAGTGTTTGCTGTCCAAGTGTTGTTTGTACTCTTGCCAAAAGTCAAAATCACGACAAACACACATACATATACATCTTAATCCGACAAAAGCAGCAAGTAGAGGCACCAATACAGGACATTAAATACCAGAAATCCGATGCCAAACAGAAATTTGGCAGCGTTGTCCACCTCCTCCGCGGTCCATCCAGTTTTTTTACATTTCACGCCCTCTACAGCAAGACGATGGTCGAGATCGGAATCTGTACCTAAACTGTTCTTACTCTGTACACTGGGAGACAAGCCATTGCCGTCACGCTGGTTTGTTTCGGTTTCCGTCCGGCCGCCTTTACATTCGCACAGATTCTTATCTATTGATCCACGGTACTGCAATAGAAAACAAAAAATAAGAATAATAATTATAACGAGTGAAAAAACAGTCGTCTTACTAAGTAAACCCTTCCTTATCTTAAGTACGTGTATTTCCACAGAAGATGCTGAATGCTGTTTATGTCTGTTTTCTTTCATCCAATGTTTTTCAATTTTCTTCAATTCCTGCACTTAATAATGTGATGACCGAATGATTATTGCATTTGTTTAATTATACGGGCAAAATAACATATGCTATTCTATCCACAGCTTTTTCACTAAGATGTACCCAAGGTCTTAGATTTTTGTGAGAAACCTTGTCATCTGTCCAAATTAATTCGAACTACGTGGATATCCTGAACGTTTTTAGGGATAGCCAGAAAACAAAGATCCCGCAAAGAGTTGCAAATCTCAGGGCATCGAAAAGCAGGTGGGGTGCGATAACACGACACAGAGAAGGTAATAATTGTGGAGAGTGTATTTAGCAGTTTGACGGAAAAAAAACAATTGTCTTACAAGAGGCAAGCAATTAATTGCACAATCAAGCCTTGGCAGTAAGATGTTTGGAGAATTAATGATTATTTCCTAAAAAAATTAATAAAAAAATAAAAAATAGGGGTGAAATTGGTGTGTAGCTGAGGCATGTCTACGCACACCTTATATATAGTGAAATGCTCGAGGAAAAAATATTTGGATCATTCTTAAGTGCATATTGTCTTGTGAGTTTTCCACATATACTGATTGTGCCTTGTTGTGGTTCAGAAATAACATGCTATAAGGGGGACTGAGAAGAAAAGATATTCAAAGATGATTCTTATGATGTACAGTGCACACAATCTTATGAAAAGCTTTCACGAATTTCTTGCCAGAGAACGCTCTGAAATAAATGAAAATGCAGAATGCACTTTGGAGAGCTCGTAGAATAGACAACAAACTTTAAGGGTTTGTGAAGTTCGGTTGGGTATTAAAGACCAGAAAAGCAAACAGAAGGTGGGTGAAATAGAAAGAATATAACATAGAGTTGAAAAAAGTAGGGCTAGAGGTGGAAAACTGTTTGAACACAAACCAATAAGAAGTACCGCTTGCTTAACTGAGGCAGCTGGCGCATTTGGTACGTTTCTAATTTGTTCTGTAAATAATGAGTTTACTTTTATACAACAAAACACCATATACTTTCTTCGATGAAAAAAATGTATATTAAAATACAGGCGTAATTCAAATAGACATATGAGCAAGAGCGCTTAAACATTAAAAATAAAAACAAAAAGAAAAAAGGAAACTCGCGAAAAATAAACGTCTAATTATATCAATTTTTTTTAGAAAAAAAAACTGGAAGCATAATAGAAAACATTAAGAACAGAAAACTTTGATGGAAAAAGCCCCGCGAAATTAATTACACTTATCAACTATTACTTTCATAGACTTACCGCGCTATTAAGACGCCAATTCACCGACCCGTTGATTTTATCCGCCATTCGCGCCTCCCTCTGTAACAGCACGTTGACCAAGGCGTACTCCAGCATAGAGCTGACAACAAACAAGAGGCACGACGCCAGCCATACATCAACTGCTTTAATATAAGACACCCTGGGAAGACGCTCCTGGAGGCTGACGCTCTGTGTGGTGATGGTTAGGACGGTGATTAAGCCAATGGACACGCGGGCTGGGGCGGCACTTGGGTCTATGAGAAAGTTGAGGAAGGACAAGATCACGACTACAATTGTTGGAGCGTAGATGTTCAGTAGGTAGAAGCGTATGTCTCGGCGCATGCGGAACTCGGCGTATATACACGTGTATTCTCCTGAAAAGACAGAAGTACGAAACATCGAGTCAGAGTTGGTGAGAGTAGAGGATTATCTAGTGCATTTGAAAAAAAAAAAACACCAGTTTTTGAATTCAAAAATACCCCCTGTTAATGAAAAAGAAGAGACTTTTAATTCATAACACTGACTTATTAACTGACTCTTTCGAATTACGAAAATCGGAGTATTTTGCGTTAAAAAAGCTAAGCCGACATTTTTCTCTAACCTACAAATAAATGGTTTGACTACTGTGTTTATAACACACCCAAACGCAATTGAAAAGTACAACAAACACACTCAGTACCTGTCGCGGTCCGTGTGGTGCAGTTATTGGGCGTTGCATGTTCTAGGTTAAATTCTGGCAAATAGAGGCTCTTTTTTATCTGTACTGGATTATCACTCCATACGAATATTATGTCATCAGTTGTGTAAGCGTCTGGAAATGAGAGTTTTAAACGAAAACGTTCAATCATTCTTTGACAGAAATCGAAAGGCCCAGGAGGCCTGCAAGTTCTTTATCTTTATTGGCTTATTGCAGTCTCAGAAACCTGTGCACAAAGATTTGCAAAAGTATACAATTGGCTTACAGTCTAAAATAAAAAAAAGTGATATATTGAAAATAGCACTGCGAGAGGGGGGGTGCGTATCTTTGAAATACTGTAGAAACACCGCATTCGCTGAATTTCATAACTGATGCAAAAAGCGATCCAGAATTGTTTGAAACATTCATTTTATCAGGTTGCGTTTCAAAATGCCGATAAATAGGCAATTGCAATCAAGAATATGAAAAAGTCAATCCTGCTCTATGAAAATGACTTATTGACGTGACATTTCAAATTCCAGTGAACACTTTTTTCAGTGCATACTTACAACTGTGCATCTCAATTCGGCATGTCTGGATGTCCATTGGGAAGTTCCCGAAATCGTACAAACAATCTAGCTTTGCAGATAACCTAAATTGAAAAAAAAATTAATCGAATGACATATTATTCTTTAGACAAGGCGTCAGTTTCAGTATGTACATTACAAATAGAAAAAGCCCAAAATATTTCAAATATACTTTTGATATTGAGCACCATTTTGTCATTTTTGTTCACATGGTGCGACTTTATGTGCACAGTGCATGTCACATCTCACATGTATAAGTCTTCAATTCATGACCATGAAAGGCCATGGCAGAGTAGCATGATGTTACATGTTGTATTTATGGCAGATTGACATGACTTTAGTGTCAGAGTGACATGACATAAGTCTTTACATTTTGACGAAAGTTATTTTTATGGAATAGTAGTAATGTTTAGCGCTACAGGCCTACTCTTCAACTAACAAAACGTGTTTTCGCTACACCTCCCTCTGTATCTTCAATAATAAAGGTTTTCTGATCTGTGCAACCTCCTTATTTATCACTTTTCGGTGAGTTTATGCAATTACAGAACAGACTAACAACTCCAAATGTCAACCAACTCCATCATATTGATTTATAACTTCCAGTGTTGTCTGCCCCGAAATGTGTTAACGCCGGCGTTATTTACGATCTACAGAAGACCAGAGCCTAATCAACGGTGGTGGTTGTTTGAGAATTACCACAGGATACCATGCAATATTTATGTTGCATTTTGTACTTGTCACACAGGACTGACGTAATGACGAAGAGCATCTCGGAGAACAAAAATAATCTTGGATTGCTGTAGGCCATTAATCAAAAAGCTCAGGTTGTTCTCTGATAGTTTGTACTGTAAAACGATATCAGCCGATTCACCATAGCAACAACAGATCAATGCAGAGTTTTGTGACTAAGGAGCATTTTGTGGCTTTAACTTTTCATGTTAAAAACTGCGTGAGCTCGATATGTGTTAAAAACAGATATCAAGTTCTGAGACCACGGGGTGCTCAGTGATTAAAAAGAAGGCATGCGGGGATCTAGAGCTCTCGCACAAAGATCTTACACCGCTTCCACCTAGAAAATGAGTTTGTATGTATTTCTTCGGAAACAGGAGATCTAGAAATATGAATATATAACATAGATATGTTTCGTAAATGTGATCAAAATCCGTTTCGATTAGACCCTTTCCGCTAGTAAGTTGTCTACTTTCCGTCACGACTGCTCGGGAAGAAATTAAAGGTAAACTTAGGACACAATAAACGCTTTAATCCGTTTTATTCATTAAGGTTGTCATTTTGGCCATCCGTTCGACTTCGATTAATACCTGGTTTAGAAACAAAAGCTTTCAACGCGTAAGGAAATACGCTTGACTTTGTGTCGAAAAATAAAACAACACGGTATTAAGTGGTGCATCATGATGCGTATCAACAACATTCACTGGTTATGAAAACTGTTACCGCAATATTTTTATTTAGGACACTGTTTGGATTCAGAAAATGGAACACTGTCAGGCACTTGTGACAAATAATCAATGGCGTAATACTGGATGAAACAAATCGTGAAGACATCAAAGAGACAGAACATAAATGGAAATCAGGGCATATTATATTACTCACATACATGTTGTAGTGTTTAAATATACGGACATTTCTCTTCCCAAAACGTGTTGGTCTTTTTAGCTAGTTATTAACGATGGAATAAAGCCCGAAAAAAGCGGGACTCGATAGTCTTCATGAGTCGAAATAATGTAAAGCGTAATTGTCCATGGGTAATAGTGTTTCCTGTGAAGTTTTTTTTTCTGATTATGATCCACGTCCCAATAGGTCCGCAAACAAAGTCACCTTAGTTGCCACTTGTGCAACCATTACCCTCTAGCAGGGTGGCACATGTCATAGACAAATTTCAAAAAGCCAGAGAATCGAATGACTGTCTATTTATCTAAATATATATCTGTTAATATCTAGTGAAAAATCAATATGTCGTCCTGGTAGAGGGCACGCAAATATCCAAGTTGATCACACTTTTTATAATGTTATGTGATCGGGTAATGGGATTTATTCAAGAGATTAATTAAATCATTTAGCAAGGTTGTAAAGCCTTATCCTAAACTTTAATAATGCATAATACGCATAAGAAAACCTAAATGGAACATTTGTCAAGTTCGTTTTTCTTTTTTTTTTCAGTATGTTTATAGACAAAAAGAATACCACCTTGGTTATAATAAAGAACATAAGACCCAATAAGGAGAGGTCCAAAGGTGAAAGATCTTTGTAAGGAAAAAAAGCTGTTTCATTCTTTATATACACACCTTTGGGAGTACAGAACACTGCCATCTTGGCCAATTCTTAACAGGACATTTGGCGTCGTGATATCGTGTCTCCAAGACTGCTTTTCGTTCGAGAAGAATAAATCCGGGACCCACAGGTCCGCCAGCGCCTTGTCCGACAGGGTGATGCCGGCATCGTGACCGTGGACGCTAGCGTTCAGAGCAAGACGGGGGTCATTCCACATCTGGCGCAAATAAAGGTTGACTGAAAAATCCTGAAGAAAACGATTGAAGTTTGTTATCGAATACATAAATATGCTGTCGAATGAATATCAAGATATTTAATGAAACGGATACCTTTTTTTCGAAGTTGAAATGAACTTCTATTCCGAAAATACTTCGATTGTACAAAACGTTATTCCAGTCCACTCACACACGCACATACACAAATTAATGTCAATCGTTCTTTCTATAAAAAGGTGAATCATCTCACCTTTTGACATTTTTGACTATGGACCCGTGTAAAATTATCATGCAATGTACAAATTCTATTTTAAGTTCTCCTTTAATTCAAAATATATTTAAAATCGATAAAGAGGTACATGTATTCAGTGCATGTGTTATTTTGCTCGAAAGTTAAAATCCAGCCGGTTGTGACTATCTCTACAAAAAAATCACAGACGCAGTATGTCACGCTTAGATGACGAAAGAGATAACCAAAGCGTTACATTATCTTTGAAACGCGATAGATCCAGGGTTGAATTAAAGGTCGTATGGTTAAAAGTCTTGTGCGAAACCCGCGATGCCCTTCGAGCCCCTTCGAGTCTGTCTGTGCGTGCGCGCGCGCGTTTGTGTGTGTGTGTGTGTGTGTGTGTGTGTGTGAGAGAGAGAGAGAGAGAGAGAGAGAGGGTGTGTGTGTGAGAGAGAGCTAGAGAGAGAGGGGGGCTTTTAAAATGAGAGAATATAATATCGTGATTTAGTATGTTCATGCGTAAACTGCTGCAACAACATGTGAAGTGCATGTACCTATAGCCTATGTATGACCACTGGGAGAAATGTCTGTGCGCATGGACAAAATTACGATTTTAATTCGTTTTTATGTCAAAGCTGTGCGTAACAAGAGCTCATGCCATTTAACCCTCTAACCTATGTCTAAAAAACATGTGATCCGGCCATCTCAAAAAGTCTACTTGGCTGCAATGAAGTATTACACTCACCATGTTAGCTGAGTTAAACTCACTAAATGAGTTGATCGCCAGATTAACTCTCACGATAGTAGGGGTGCCTGCAAAAAAGTAATATAAGATTATTTTGTGGGCATGTTATCAGTAGGCTTTGTAGGGAACAGAAAGTATGTGCATGTTTTTCTTTTGATTGTTTGTTTGTTTGTTTGTTTGTATTTTGAGGCGTTCAAATCGGTAAAAAGAGTCTATGAACGGCGATTATTTAGAGTTTAACAGTAGGGCCAGAATTATGGCTTAAATTGCGCATCAAGTTTCTTCCCTTTCATGTGTGTGTGTGTGTGTGTGTGTGTGTGTGTTCCACCCCCCCCCCTTTCACTTTGTTGAAATTGAATGGATGTACATCACTATTGATTAAGCCAACCCATGTAATAGACGTTTTATCAGCCAGGAAACGCGAAATCCACCAAGACAGATATTAATGATTTTCAAACGTCAGTCAGTTTCACTTAATTCAGTAGACCTATATTTGGAAACTATCAGCTTATACAATCACAAGCAAGAAAATCTCAGAACTTAATCTCAGTTCGCTTAAGAACACTTTAGAATTGAATTTATCGTGACTGGCGATGTGGAGAATGATTGTTAGGCAGGTTTCTCACCTCGGACGTTATTGATGTAAAAAGCTAACTCGGTTTATTTAGAAAAAGATAATTATATTTATGCGTATACCGGACATCACACGGTGGCAAGTCTTCGGAGAGATATACCTCACATGCACGGGCCGATAGTAAATAAGCGAAATCACATCTAAACGAATGTAAACAGGATGTCGTGAGGATTAGGCGAAAGTCCTGGTATTAATTTACGATCCCTCTGTGTCAGTAACTGCCGCAAAAATTGCTATATATATTCCGCTAATAAGCCCACATAACCTGAACAATGATAAAATAAAGCACTGTGCTCTTTTTCTTCTTTCTATGGACAGAATCAGTGAATAAACCATTAAGGCGCATGGCAACAAATACCAATCCGAACCCTCAAGTTCAAGCTGGACAATCAAGACTTGCAAGACAAATAACCAAAATATCATTAGAACTAAATCAATTGTTATTTTGGATAGCATTACACACTTGTACACGTAGATGTATAAATAATATATCTGACAAATGTTTTATAACTACTTCAATTAAGGACAGTTCACTCAGTTAATCATACACAGTTTGAGAGATAAATCAAACAAGTGTTTGAAAATATAGAGTACATATGGAGTATATGCCCGCTCACAGATAAAAGATTAATGGATTGCTACCTCTACTGAATTATGAAACTCCACTTTATGTATGGATACCGCTCGATTAGGTTACAGATCTAAGAAAGCTAGAGAAAAAACTTTACACCAGTGAAATATACCCAGTAACGCACAGTGTTATATTTGTTATAACGACGGGGAGTGGGTTGGAGAGAGGGGGTGTCATGAGTGCAGTACATTGTAATAGTGCAGTTAATGCTATTCGGAATTAAAACTCAAAGTGCATTTTATTACTGAAAGGTATGTGAGAAGTAGCAAGGAGATGGACAAAAGAGTTGCAGAGTGTTTATACACTGGCAAGCTTTTAACTCTTAGGAACTATGTGTATGAGGTCAAGGTGTTCCCACAAAATTTCTACATATTGTATAGATAGAAATTAAAGACAAAACTGAAAGTGCTATCAATTTCAGTTCATTTTTGCGCGACAAAATTAAAATAAATTCTGTGTGGATTTCCCCCCTCTCCTCTTCCACACAGACATAAAAACATATGTAGAAAATATACACATAATTCGTGCACACGCATGTACATGCACGCACACTCACCCTGTCTAAGGTGTGGTCGAATCCTGCTGTCATACCCTTCAACGACTGTCATTTGTTCTACAAGGGCCTGGTGAGCGATTTCATAGGAGGATCTGTGGAAGAAGAATTTATTGTAAAGACAATTGGTTTTTAACCGATAATTTATGAAAACTGGAATAAGTGATGGAGACGCGCAAAAATAAATTAATGCATGGACGAATTTTAGCTTACCTTGAAATTAAGGTTATTGGGACCAGCTTTGTAAGGAATAATCGTTAAGACAGAACCTCACGCAAAAGCAAGCACCAGTGTATAGAGGTAGCTTTACTCTTTTTTGAAAAGATGGATGGAAATGAACTCTGTTTTTCTTTGTCTATATATATATATATATATTATTGGGGGGGGGTGGAGGAAAATCAAAGAACTTGTACAGTTAAATATGACGCAAAAACCATCCAAGTTACACTTCTTTTCTCAGCATATATTGAATGGGTGCAAATGCTATAGCTGGCACAGACATTTTCAGAAGAATCCATTCAGGATGGGTTCGGCTGTATTGCAGGCCGCCTTGACACCTAAGGCTACAGACCCTCGTTGGGTTGACTGCTTACTGCTCACAGCGTTTAGCTTTGATTTACCTGGAATTACCTTGCTCAATCAAAATGTCTACTTATATTAGAAGTGTCCCATCCTTTACAAACTCTCCCTTTCCACGAAAATTGTTTGTGAAGGCTATAAATAGGTGCAATCTCAGGGCAGCAGTAGATGGAAGTAGTAAATGGAGGTTCTTACTCTGTACGAGGGACGGAAAGGGATTTGTTTCTTGTATCGATGAAAAAACTACTGACAGGGAGGATGGCAGCGGTTCGAAACACGAATAAATTTCAATCACTTTTTTTTTTGTAAATGTAAGTTGTTAAGACAAGATGACCCGATTGCACCGAGATATTATATTTGAGTATCTCTGAAAGTATGAAAGCGTAAGCTAGGAGATGAGCAAGTGAGCAAGGTCTCGAATAACTAGAAAAGGTTATCTGAAAAATTCAGATACCGATAAGGATTTTAAATGCTGATGAACCCGGCGTTAATTTCTTATCAAAATAGCATTTTCTCTGAACTTTCATAACTGGCGACACGTGTTCCGAAGCGCATGACTTACGGAGTAGAGATAGACCATAATTTTCCAAGCTCAAAATTCACTGTTCTCGTTGAGAGTGCTAAATACACTTTAGAGATATTGGGTAACTGATTAAATGAAAAAAAATCTGACCCCAATTATTTGTCAAGGATAGGCAGGATAATAAAATCCACTATTTAAACTGTAAGAATGAATTTTGCAATAATAAACACTGGCAACAAAAAGTGCTCCAGGTCAAATACAATGTCAGAGTAGAAAGAAGACTAAATTTGTTGATTAAATTGATGCTATTCTATCTATAAATAGGAGATAATATGATTTTTTCTATTATTTTTATTCATTAGATTATTTATTTTTCTGTTTATTAATCTCCATCTTTGTTATTAGAGATACGAGCAAGACTAGATTTTTTAAATTTATTAAAATTGAAACAACTACGACAAAAGAACAAGACAAAACTGGCAGGAGGTTTCTTCTATAAGGTGAAGAGGCAAAGCAAAAGTTGGATGTAAAGCCAGCAGAATCATTCAGATCAACTTTTACAATTTACCTGTCCAAAGATATGGGCATCTAATTAATTTTGTATCCAAAATATGTAGCACTCTGTTTATTTGATTGACCTTTACAAGGAAAACATTTATATTTCCTTTGAATTAGATAATGTTTATATTGAGTGTACGTGTTGTTATATAGGAGTGTCCGGTTTCAAAACACACTAGAAAGTACTCCACACACTAAATCTGTTAATCTAATATAGTTTGAAATCTTCTTGGAAGGGGAATTTATTGTTATATAAACATTTAAAGTACTTAGCAAATGAGTGGTGAATTATTCTATATGCGTGAAAAATACGCAGCAAATAAGATAAAATGTTCCTTACACAGAAAAAGCTACGCGTATTTACGTTCGATATCGGGAGCCAAGGTTTTTGGTATTGTGAGGAGGAAAAAGCAGGAAGAACTGACGAGCGCCTCTACGCAAAAAAAATATACATAATGGGCAGATAAAAAAGAACGATTGGTGAAGATAAATGTGTCCCTTTTTCACCATCCCAAGCAGTTCATTTTTCTACAAATGTCACCACATTGCGAGATGCATTCACCAGTCTACATACGAACTCGTCTACCAGAGAGAGAAATGATTAGTGCAGTTCTTATGAAATATACTTTTAATGTCAATTTCGAAAATCAGTCAAGAAAAATAACTTCCCTTCAACCCCCTCCCCCATCCCTGCCTCTTTTCCGGGGTTACTAAAAACGAACATCTTGTCAAGCCCACATGAAATCAAGTATGTATTAATTGTTCAATATATACATCTATAACCATGAGTATATGGCATATAACTCTAAATATACCTCCTGCATTAATTTCTTATTAAGCACACGCTCGAAGGAGTGATAAGTTGAATCTCTTAGAATTGTATACGTGAACGCCAAGTAGGCCTAAAGATGTCCAGACGTTTAAAAGGCGTACGCTGCATAAGAAAAACGACACAAGCCTCGATTACAGTAAAGATCTAGTGACAACCATCAAATACATGGACTTACTTGTTGAGGTGGCTTTGACCACTCGAGGTCACTTTGTCCGCCATGAAAATCAGCACTACTAGGTTTACAACCAGCGATTTTCTCATACTTGCTGGGATTTCTAGATTCTAAAAATCCCCCCGACACCTGTAGCACGTAGCATCAGATAAGTGATGTGACCGGGCGTTGGAGGTGTACGTCCACACTCGTCTTTGACTTATCGGAGTCAAATCTGTATCTCTGTATAAGTGCGTACAAATGTGCGATTTAATCACGGCTCGCACGTTCTGTGGTGGCCGGTGCTGTTGAATGAATGGCGTTATTTATTTTGCCTGCCTTGTGATTCTGAAGGATATCGATTAAGCCCGCTGACGATTTATTTTGTGAAGCTCTGATTGGTTATAGTTGGTCACATTGGCCGGTAAATCCTTATCGTGACGTCAGAAGATGAAGAACAGCGGATAGATGAATATCATACATGATCCCGTAGTCAATTTCGGAATGCCAAGAAGCCGAAGACGTCGGACGTTTTATCAGATTTAAGACTTCCGAGGTTAATTGGATTGGTGAAATGCAGAAAAGCAGACCTAAATGGAATTTACTTCCCAGTAGTTAGCTTTTAATCCCGTGACACGCCCTTATGGAATAACTTGGATCACGGCATTGATATTTTACAAATTATCTCCATGGTGTTCAAAGAAAATCTAGTAGATGATTTTTTCATTTGAAATGTGAAATACGTTCAAGCTCTGAGCCTCTAAAAACACTAACGCATTAACCTTTATAAAAAGGAAAGATTTAGGACTTCGTTCGCATTTGGAAACTCCATAACTACAGAAGGAAATGCATTGTACATATACAGAATGACATTTAGAAAAAAAAAGAAGCAGAACAGAGAAATCAAATCAGGGACAAAAGTGCTTATATCCTAGGTTTATATGTGCCAGTGCAAACAAGGCGAAATCCTGATCAGGTGTTTTATTTATTACTTGATATCGGAAATGTGAACAGTACATGTATATGTAACTACACACGCCATTAAATCATTCTGTCCGTGCTGGAAAACCTTTTTTGATTTATAACTGACGGGCAATCAACTTTTACACGAGGTTTACAAGAGTTCATAATAGTTTACCTGTTGATGTGTCTGAAAGTAATTTTCAACATTTAAATTAAAGTACGTTTCTCTACTGTGTTCACATAATAAACCAGTGTTTTAGTTGTTTTAAGGAAAATTGAACTTTTTTGAATCAGCACGGGGATTTTCGGTTATCAGTTGGACGTTTAGCTGGTTCTCTCTAAGGATGACATGATGATCAATGGCGAGAACTCAGCTGATGTACGAAGATTTGAAATTGCTGATTGTCACTATCTATTACTACTCAGTATTAACCAATGTCACCGTTGTTTATTACCTCCGGTAACATAATTTCTGTATCAAAAACACCTTGTGTTAACATATCTAACTTTATGTAACGCGCATATGTATATAATGTTCATACTGTAAATGTATGCCACCAGCCTATATTACATTACAGAAACATGAGTCAATACCTTCTATATATATCCCTTAGCTTGAAGCACCCATACACATACACAGTATAGACAAGTTTGTTAAGAGACATGACGTTCTAAGCTGTGATAAGGCATTTCTAATCTTCCACTATGTAATCACAGTTAAAACAGCGCTCTACATTCAACATAGTTTTATACTCACTGTAGTTACTCGATCAGCTTACTATTGCATTGCACATCGGAGGACCACTGTTGAAACGCAGTGTCCTTCAACCGTTGAGTAAACTCGCTTAAAAAGTCAAAAAGTTTTCATTTATGATACATCCGGATATTTGATTTACCTGTTGACAGTTTCGCCTGTTCACATTGACAGTCATGGTCACAACTGAATTACCTGTTCAGGTGAAGGTGAACAGGTAATTACCTCAGTCTTGATGATGACTTGTTAGTCCCTCTTCAAGATGTCCATTATTACCTCCGCCAAGGAGGTTATGTTTTCACCCCTGTTTGTCTGTTTTTCTGTCTGTCTGTCATCAACATAACTCAAAAAGTTATGGACCGATTTTGATGAAATTTTCAGCAACTGTCAGAAGTGGGCCAAGGAAGAGATGATTAGTTTTTGGTGGTGATTCGGATCAATAATCAATCAATAATGAATAATCAAAAATATCGAAAATTTAGGGGTGAAACGGCATTGGATAGAGACTTTGCTGCCTTGGCGGCGGTCTGCGCTCTCTGAGTGCTTTTCTAGTATTTCTAGTATTTTCTAGTATTTATCAGACAAACTCGATGTAAACCAAACTGCAAACGGCAGTGACTTGTTTGTTTTCGCAGAACCCTAAACTGAAATACTGTTTTTTTGTTTTGTTTATTTTTTGTTATCCCCCCCCCCCACCACAAAAAAAGAAAAAAAAACTCAATGAACAATGCTGAATCAAGTAGGACTTCTGTTTGAACATCTTCAATCTTCGTCATGACTTTGGATTTACTCTGCTTTCTGAATACAGCTATAACTGATGTATCTGATGAGTGTATGAACAGCGCATATTTTGGGTTGAAACGTTTAAAGATGCATACAAAGTCAATTTTTTGTCACAAAAACCAACCAAATGCCAGCATATAGTTTCAAGTAGTATAACTAAGAGAAGTACCAAAAGGCATTGTTTAATTTTACCCGAAAATGATGTTTGAACAGATTTTTCTGCTGGCATTCTAAGCTGTATGTCAATGGGGTAGGAAAGTAGGTCACGGAAGTAGGTTAAATTTACAACCATAAATTTAGAGAAAGGAGCAGTCTAAAGGTCTTTTTATGGCTGATCGAGTGATCTATTCAGTTTATTCCTTGGCATGTCAAATTTATTTGAGCCATATAAGAATCTAGTAGAAGTGGTTTACATGTGTTACTGGGAATCCACACTCCACTGATGCTCGGTTCGTATGTACCTTTAAGACTAATTGTGGAGATATATCCGTTTTGTGAAACTGCCTCAGATGACTAAACAAGCGCTGGCTCTTTAATAGTATATACTTGTATAGCAGTAGGTCTAGCGAAACGCCTTGTTAAAGAAGCTACATTTAGCTCAGTAATCACTCACCAGCCTAAGTAGTCAGTCTAACCCTCAAAACCAAACTTACATCACGGTTTATCTTATCCGCAGTTTCGTTACACGCAATCAAGCCAAATCAATACTTTCGCATTCTTGGTATCTGAAACAGATTTGTGAGTCTGCAGTGTAATACCAGAAGAACATACGACAAATTGAGGGCTTACTAGTGCTTATGTTTGACTCGTCAATGTTGGCTCTTGTGGTGATCTGGGGGATTTGTTGCGGTCAGTCAATCAGAGCTGGTCAATCAGAAGGCCATGACATTTGTCCAAATGGTATTATGAACATGTAGCAGGAGTGTGATTTTTTGCCAAAAGGCCAAATTCGTGTATTTGCACTCATTAACCGTTATGGCATTGGCGGTTATGAAGTGAAAAAGTTTTTTTTTAATTTTAAGCAAGCATGTTAACTTCATATTGATTGTAAAGCAACTTTTATTGGCAATAAGAGGATTCACTGAACATACTTCAGCTTGAATAACTATTAACTTGGAATCTTTTCAAAACAAGGATAATCAGAAAAAAATATACAGTTATGAGTAAATCTGGGCCGTAAGTGCATCATACTCGTAACTGCCCCCTTTCCTAAAAATATAATAATATAGCGTCTTTGCAACTTCAATTTCGGATAAAAAATAAAATGTATGTTTAAGAAAGATTAAAATGGTTTAGTGATTAGAAATTGCAGCAGTTGTTCCCAGCAATTTCCTTATGACACAATCATTTGGCTTCAGCCAATCTCAACAAAAGCAATCGTGAAGATAACTCCCCCTCCCCCCCCCCCACACACACACATAGAACCCCTCTTTCAAACGTATATGCATACATGTATGCAATTCTGACCCAGACTATTGCATGTTATATAATAAAGAAAAAAATATATTTGAAAAAATCTTTAGAGAAGAATGTACGTGTCAAAATCGAGTGAAGTGTCCTCATTTATCTTAGGTAAACTAAACCTAGTAGACACGCCTCCTCCCGTTGTCAGGAAACTGAGGGTCCGTGTGACAGAAAGTCCGCTCTGCATATAGTTATGATGGTTAGGGTTAGTCTGACCTAAGTGGATCAAAATGTAGGGTGAGGCTCACCTGTGCAAAATAATGGGAAACGGACTCTCTGTCACGGGGGACTTTTTGGTACATGGCACCGGCGTCTAGTAGAGTGCAGTGACGCTGGTGGTTGTAGGTGTACGTTTTTTAAACAAGTAATTCAGGTTAACTAATTTGCACTCGGCGTGAGTCCCCGGAGAATTGGATAGATGGAAGTAGACCCATAGTGTCGATGGGTACGAGGTCGTCATGAAAGGAAAAACTGAAATCGGTCAATATATATATATTATTTATAAAATTCTTATTAGGCTAGCCTATCATCCACATAGGGGGTTTATGACAAGGGACTGTACTTATTTTGTACTCCTTTTGCTTGGGCGACTCGTAGGACAAACCAGCATTATCATCAGGTGACTAACGGCAGAGTATGGTAAATTAGGACGCATCCAATTGCTTCAAAAATGCAAAGAGGATACGTTAATATTTTACACTTTGAATTTCAACAACTTTCATGACAATTATTTTCACCATAATAGAACTTATTGCTTTACATATATTAAAATAGTAAAATAGTAAAGGCATGTCATGTATGCCATTTTTATAACCGAGATGATTTTTCTGGGCATTTCATCATTTTCCCTTTATCGCCTGGGTTAAGTGTATTCCCTTCCCAAAAAATGCTGAGAAACTCGCCATCTATGAAGCTATTAATTCCTCATTTTTACCGTTATCAGCTAAATTCAGATGTCTTTATCTCCATTACGAGTGGCAAACAATGTAAAAGCTCAGAACCAAACGGGTTTGGACATGAAATACTTTTCTGCTAAGGTGAAAATTATATGTCTGCTATGGAAAGATATGGCGGTCATTGTTTGACTTTAAAGAAGCAACTAAAGTGGGCAATGTCGGTCTGTGTTCAGTTCCCTCCCCCCCCCCCCCCCCNTCAAGCTCTGAGCCTCTAAAAACACCAAAGCATTAACCTTTATAAAAAGGAAAGATTTAGGACTTCGTTCGCATTTGGAAACTCCATAACTACAGAAGGAAATGCATTGTACATATACAGATGACATTTAGAAAAAAAAAGAAGCAGAACAGAGAAATCTAATCAGCGACAAAAGTGCTTA